GGCTACCAGACGAGCCGCGTCGGGGCGCACACATAAGCCCTCCACGCTCGCGGCCCGAGCGCCGCCGCCATCTTCGACAAATCAAAAACACGCGCGAGGGACCCGTTAAGGGGAAGGAAGTAAAAAGAAAGACCCGGACCAGAGGCGGTAAAGGTCGTGAAGGGTCGGGGTTCAAAACCTCGCCCGACCGCCTGTCCGCAGCAGGTCCGCCTCGAGCCGGCCACCGCGCCAGCGCCGCCGTGCACGTCCCAGCCTGGTCCCCGCCAGCCTGCTGCTGCTTCCCCGAGATTGACTGAATCGCCGCAAAGTGTGAAGCTGCAGCGGCGGCAGGGGCACACCGCAAAACCAAAGGTGAGGTCCTCCACGTCCGCCCCGCTCAGGCCCCAAGCTCGGGGTGCACGACTGCCATCTCTGCGACCTGAAGGCGGAGGCGGGCCGGCGCGGGGCGGGCGCGCCTCGGATACCTTGAGCACCTTGGGTAAGGTAACCGACGTCGCCGCCGCGGCCGGGGCCAGACAACGGCGGGGCGAGCGAGCGAGGCAAGCGGGCTGACCGCGGTGGGCGCGGCGGCGGCCGGAGGGTACCGGAGTACCGGAGGGGCCGTAGCCGGCGCCACCGCGAACGACGAGCCCGGCCGCACCGACCGCAGCAGCGCTCAAACGTTACGATCAAAGGCGATGAAACGATGCGCTGCACTTCCACTCGCACTCCTGCCGTCGGAGTAATTCCTTTCCAGGTTCGTTTCCGCCGTAAACGACACGAAGTACTTGGTCACGATGGGCCCCCGGACCGGCTGCGGTCGTAATAGGGCAAGGAACCAAACGAACCAAACGACAATGTGACGGTTTCCTGATGAAAACAGACCTCATGTCCTTTTCGTTCCATACGCCAGGTGGCTGTTTAACCCCGTGCATCGCTGCAGTTGCACTGTACGGTGGCATCCTGCGGGCGGGCGGGTTTGCCTGCGCCTCCTGCCAGACCATGGCGCCCTACAGGCCAAGCGAGTATAGGCAACCCGCCCGCGCCAAGGATTGCGGCACAGCCCGACTGCGCGGCGCACGGGGTCAGTCCGCCACCTGGTATTATTCCTTGGCGGCGGCGGCGGTCATTCCCTGCCGCGTAAACGTGCACGCATCACGTGGTGCACGCGGCCCGCTCCACCGCGCACGGACCTGCGAGCACGTGCACGCATATCACAACACGGCCGGATATCATTACCCCCCCCCCCCCTGCCGGCCCTTTTATTTTCCAGAGGGCGGTGCGCGCGGTCACGTCATGCGACTGCACCCCACCCCGCTCCGCCGTCATGGATGGCCTGCTCGTGGAAAGCGTCCGGGGAAAGCGGACTCGACCGAGGACTCGACGGTGGTGTGGGGTCGAGTATACATGCATCGCGGAAAAGAACACATGGTAGTGAGAGGCGGTGAAAGAACGCCACGCCGCGTCCATTTCGGAACAGCGAATCAGCGGCGCCAACGGGCGTTCCATCCATGGGCGTTCTTATGGCTCGCGGTGCACGGTGACGCACAGCAGGCGCGCAGGGCCTTCGAACACCTTCCTCCTCGACGCCGGCCCCCGCCAAACCACTTCGCCCCGCCCCGCCCCGCCACGTGCCCATTGTAAGAGCAAATTATGCAAATGGTTGTTCGCAGCGCGGAACAACAAGAAGAAGTGCAAGTGTGAGGCGAAGAGACGCGAGCAGCGTGATCTATGCGCAGATAGACCCGCCCGCCCCGCCACCGCCCCGCCGTGCCCAGGTCGCGCCGCCTGGCTGGCACTCCCTGGAGTCACTGGAGCAGGAGGGGGAGGGGGGGGGGAAGCAGAGCGTGGAGTAAGGGCGGAAGTACGGCAGCGCGCCGCAGGCGGGTTGCGACGCGGTCGAGAGTTCACGAAAATGATAAGTAAATTAGGTCATGAAAAAAGAGGGAGCGCCCGCCTCTCCCTTTCCTCGCGATCCCTGCCGCCGATCGGCCATCGGTCATCATTGCGGCGGCGTGGGGAAGAGAGAAAAGACATGAAAATCGGCGGCGCCAAAGGGGGCGAGGCGACGCCCCACTGACCTCCTCAAGACTTTGTACCCTCGAAACACGTCAGGACTGGCGCCAGGTACCCCGAGCGGTACCTCTAAGGTATCTCTGAGGTACCTCTAAGGCACCTCTAAGGTCCCTCTAAGGTACCTCTAAGGCACCTCTAAGGTCCCTCTAAGGTACCTCTAAGGCACCTCTAAGGTCCCTCTAAGGTACCTCTAAGGCACCTCTAAGGTACCTCTAAGGTACCTCTAAGGTACCTCTAAGGTACCTCTAAGGTAACTCTAAGGCACCCCCTCCCCGACCGCTGATAAGGGGTGGGCGTGATTAATTCAATGCCGGGCGGGCAGACATCGGGCAGCGGTTGCCAGGCAACGCGCGCTCGGTGGCGCAATACACAGTGACAGACGGACGGCCCGACATGGAGAACGAAACAAGCGGGCTGCCCGGTGCTCGCGTTAATCTACATCGCAATCAACCCCCCTCCCCACCAGGAAAACAAAGAGAAGAGGAAAGAAAAGAAAAGGGTAAATTTGTGGGGGGGGGGGGGGTAATGCGACCACTAAGGTGGCGGTGGCGACGTCACCGTGCGTCAGCGGCCTTCTCCAGGCGACCAACACGCCAATCCCGACACCGGTGTCCTCTCGGCGAAAACCACCACCGTCACCGCAGCATCTCCTTCGTGCACCCACCCGGTACAGCTTTGATTTCCCACAAAAACAACCACCGGCGCCGCCGCCCAACATTGCGCAAATGCGCTCGTCTAACGTCGAGGTGAGAGAGCAGTGCTGAGGTGGACAGGCGCCCCCCGGGGAGGTAGGCGTCCCCCGCTCGGAGCCCTAAGGACCTGGACGGCGCCTTGTGACGGCCACCTGCACGTCCCATTTCTCCCAGCCGCGACCTACATTTAGCCGGCCGCGGCTGCAGTCGCCGCCCAAGCTGCCGCAGCTGCCGCCTCAGCTCCCAGTGCTCCTTACTCTCACTGATCGACGCGTCGACAAGGCGTAGCTGGGAGTAGCACACCACTACTACAGTACTCAGCTCTGGCGGGCGGGGCGGGGGACTCTCTGATTTGGACCCACTCCCCCTCTCTCCCGCGCCGACGCCGGTAGGCCGACGCCGGTAGGCCGACGCCCGTGTACAGTCGCTCCGACCTCCCGGTGCGTCTCCACCGCGATTATCCCCGTCAGCTACGCCCGCCCCGCCCCGCCGCCCCGCCCTCACCGTCGCGCGGTGCTTCCGTGGCGGCGTGCGCCGGCGCCCACCCGGGCCGGGCCTTGGCTGGCTCGATCGCCGGAGGTGAAAAATGATCACAAGTCCGGGAAACGTGCTACAGCAGCTAGCCCCGCCCAGCCATGGCAATCCAGGCTAGGAGGCTCAACGCCGACAACGCTTTTTGCCTGCACCCCTTCCAAAGACATTCAGAGATGTTTCAGTTGAATATGGTGAGGACAGGTAAAACTTGCCCTCAACAGAAGAAGAAGCCATAGTCGCGGAGAGGATCGTCCGCGCCCCTCACAGCTTAATGGCCCTGGTTGGTTGTTCATGTTTTTCTGGCGTTTTTCCTTTTTGCAGGGTATAAAATGGGCCTTTGCTGCTGGCTGCTGGTGCATCTCAACCTTGAGCCGACGGAAGTTGCCGGCACGGGTTGTGTTGAGGGGTGTGGGGGGC